GTTTAGTGGCCGTTTCAATATCGACATTACTTGTTTTCGGTGCACGTTGCTCTTGTGCCTTTGGCTTTGATGAGGTAAAAGGTGTAGACGCATGGTTATCTTGAAATGCTGATGGTTTCAATGTCCTGCTGTCGCTTTTCTGCCTTTGAACGCTTAATGATGGTCCTATACGGTCCGTTTTGGCTGTACTTATGTTTTTCTGAGCTGAAGCATGCTTGGCTACCGTCGCATACGTTAGCGGTGATGTACTCTTCTGTGATTTTGAAGTCATAGGGAGTGGATGCACTGTTTCACAATTCGGACAAGGCGATCTCTTTTTTGGAGCTTTTCCAAGGAAATTTTTTTGTCGCTTTAGTCGAGTAGCGGCCTGATGTTTCGGACAACTAGCATACGACGCTACATGGTCTCCATTGCAATTGGCACATTTGGGATGATTTCTCAATGTACAGTCTTTGTAATCATGTGTTCGGGTGCAGATTTTTCAGTCAAGTTGTCCATGAGACGATTTGGCAACATGTCCATATCATTGACAGTTGTAACATCCTGTAGCGGGCTGTAGGTACTCTTCCACTGACTTGTGAATCCTAGGAGAACACGAGGCGGCAATGGCTTGTCGGGGGAGAACTCAAGAATGACACTGCCAAGTAAATGTGGCTTCTCTGAACCATCTTCACGACGGAGCTATTTAGTTTGTCTCTTGACTGAAATTACACTGCTGTCTCTTAAATATTAAAGCAGTTCATCTTCACTGTATTGTACTGGTACTTGTCTAATCTTTCCTAGGTTTTTCACATACGACTGCGGTATATAGAAACACGAGATTCTCTTGCTGTTCGGACTCATTCACCACTTCGTCCTCATCCGATGGGTGCTGGGAAGAATGGCCACCACCTGATGTCGAAGCTTTCGCATGTCATGGCAGCCTAAGATAAGGCTTTGGCGCCTTGGAGACGTGGCGCCTAATGCATCATTACTACTCATGTACTGTGTTAGAACCATCGCCATCCAGTGAATCGATTAAGCAACCCTCCATGTCTACATATACTCTTGTAGTTTGTGCAATAAAGCATTTTTCCAAAAGCTGCTGCGGCATCCACATCAGTTATTGCACTGCACAAGTTTTTTTTCTTTTTTTTTTTGCCACCTCTTCTTTTCAGTTTCACGAATTCCTTGAATGGCAAGGTCTCCAGTTTGGCAGATCTACATTTTTATTCAAGGATTCTGTCAAACGATAGATGGGACAAGTGCTAATGTGGACTTATCTTTGTTTGCTCAGTGCGGTAGATCGAAATGCAAGTTTTATTGAAACAGCTGTGTTCATGTGTACTCTGGATGATTTAGGTCATGTTGAATGGCTTGGACATACTTTTTTTATAAATGGCAGGTGCTTTATAGCTCCAATTTTGGTTTTTTGTGATTAAAAAAATAGTTATTTCATTTCTCCTAACATGTTCCAAATTTGCATTGTAGTGCTCCAAAAGTAAAATTGTGCTGCTCCGAAAATTGCTCTAAATTCAGTTTTGGCTCTTGCACCCCTGTAGAGTTCATTACAGACACCTCAAAGACTTACTCTTTTGTGTCGTACATATCGGTCAGTCCATTATTTTTGGAGGCCAGCATTATACATACAAGGATCTTCACTGCAAAAGCTTCTGCTATATTTGCAGCCATTAAACACTTTGAAGAATTAGAACTACAGAAGGCAGTAATCTACACGAACTTGCTAAGCGGGGTGAAAGCTCTGCAAATTTTTAGAGAAAAGAAAGACCCTCTCCTTGTCTCGCTTTATTCACTATTATGCACTGTCTACAAATCCAAACAGCACATTACAGTTGTCTGGGTGCCAAGGCTTTGCGAGATTCAAGGTAACGTGATGGCGGACCAGCTCGCCGCATTCGTCAACGAAAGCACTGCCAATTCATTGATGCCCGTCCCATCGCTTGACTTGAAATCATTCTTCAAACGAGAGTTCAAAGCTTACTGGCAGAACACATGAGATAGGTACACACAAAACAAACTACATGTCGTCAAGCCGAACCTTGGCAATTGGCCACCAGTGTCAAAATCACGCCACACAGAAGTTACACTTACAAGACTAAGGACCGGACATATACACTGCACACATTCACACCTTTTGTGCGGTTGCGATCTACCTCTGTGTGATAGATGTGTTGAATCGCTTACTGTCAACCACATCCTCATCCAATGTATTGAATTAAAGTCTATTCGAAAAAAGCATTTTCAGTCAGCTTACCAAGAACACATTTAACTTCATCCTCGGATATTCCTTGGCAAAGAAACGTTTTTTACATTCCAGTCGTTTGCATTTTTTAGATAAATTCATAGCTTTCATGACATATATATGAGAGAAATCTGTAGTATATTCTCTGTGCAGAGGTTGTTGCTGCGGTAGCTACTCGGAGAAGCACCTGCCTTTCATCCTTTGGTTTCAAATGAGGAGGCATTCGTGCTACTTTACAATCACTCGCTTGTAAATAACTTGGTCATTGGTAATTCATTTCACACCCATACATCACATCGTATATCAGTGTCACAAGGTTATCGTTTATACACATCTCTTACGCTTCTATATAGCACATAATTTTAGGCTTCTATACAGCCGTAATACACCCTGTTATCGTAGTCATTGGTCATCATTTACATCGTATAAAAGATATGGTGCTCTTTGGCCACCCATGGCTCTTGCACCACAAAACTCCACTAATCATCATGGGTGGATAGCTGCTCATATGCTAGCTCTATGTCAGGATTCAGTCTACTGGACGACCGGCATCGTGCTCAGCCAGTTTCGCTGTGTCTCAGGCCTTGAGCAGTCGAGTGGAGTCTTTTGCCTTTCTTTTTTTTTTTTTTTTGTAGAAGGTGCCATTAGTCTGGCTACATACGTGCCTGTATTTTTTTGCATCCACTCTTTGATAAACTGCAGAAGCATTGATGCCAAAATAGAATCTCTGTGATTAAAAAATTTGAGCTTTTCTATTCTTCTCCTTTCTTACTCTTCTACCTTGCAATTTTACCATATGAATTATTCTATTGTGGAACGTTATTCGTTCAGCTGCCATAAAATAGTTTTTTTTACACATGATGTGCTGTTCCACAACTAAAAGGCTTGTGTTTTCTTTTGTACTCTCTGGCTTAAAATGCAATTTTTTCTGCTCTAAAAATTAAATTTTTACTACTCTGGCTGTCACTAATTCGCCTAGTGGTACAATGTGTTGACTTTTTATGCATGTGTTATCAAAAATTCAAGTTTTATTGCTGAAGGTTGAACAAACTGAAGAATAAACTAGAATAATTGTGTCCTGGATGCAATCTTAACAGAATAATCTTCAGCCATTGTGAAGCTTCTCAAGCATTGCGTTGTGATATGTCCTTAGCATTGCTGTCTTTGTGGGTGAAATCTAAATACATCGAAATTAAATCTGCATGGCAATATGTCTGTTATATCTAAGAAGCGTTGCTAGTGGGGTGGCCTGTGCCATGGCACCAGTGCATGTGCTGTCACTGTCAGAATTAACAAATCAATGCTACCTAAGCACCAGCGAAGCATTGCTGTGGATTGAGGCATACTTTTACGTTTCTCTGAAGTTGTTTTTCTCTTATCTCACACAATTGAAACACCTTAACAGGTGGGCCCAGATGTTGCATTTCAGGATACTGTAATTGTGGGGGATTTTAATGAGCTCTTCTTGTTGCCTACTAGAAAGGCGGTGTCTGCATGTGTTTCACCACTTGCCGCTGATATTTGTGTGCAGCTGTGCCACACTGGAGCAATGCATTGGCAGTTGCACCTTGCTAATGAAGCCAGATGATCTGCTTCTCCTCCTCTTATAAATATGTATATCGGGCTAGTTGGTAAACCTATGAAGATGTATCTCCTCCTTGGCTGTAGCTCTGCTTGGCACAGACTGAGTAAGACAACCGAATCCACCCAATGCCACATCTATCTCGATGATGAACAGCATTTGATCTTCATTATAAATATCTATAGTTTGCCTAAGCAGCTGCTGTCTATGCATGATTCCACTGGAAGACATCTTTTTTATTGCATGCTCTTTATTCTTAATATTGAAGTAGCACTCGGGGCAGGTGGGAATCATTTGAAGGGATAGCTTCAAGGGCCTTTCAAGTGGTATCCAACCAGAAATAACCAGCATTTGTCATTTCTGGTTGGATACCACTTGAGATCCAGAGGCGACGTCCATCCTCCCATGACGTCACTCAGTGGTGCTGACTTCTTTATTTATTTATTTACAAATTCCTTACAGGCCTCGCAGAGGCATTGTGTAAGGGGGGGTCAATAAAAAGTAAGAACAATTTAGAATGACACCAAAAACAGAGTTGATACATAGAAGTAGGAACAGTGTAAAATAACATAAAAAAGAAACAGTACAGCAAAATAACTTCTAATAAAGAACTAGTCTATTTTATGGTATTAATTCCTGGTGAAATAATTTAGTTATTCTAGTGAAATAATTTCAAGTACAACAAAACTTGAAAACAACAGTATCACATTACTGACGAAATAAATTTGAAAAAAAAAAGAAAACGGGGTTTCAATAGACATGACAGAAAATTGACTAGCTAAAATTTATCAGATGCTCGCGAAATATGTTGTCATACTTCTGAAGGCCAATGCTATTGGGAAGATCGTTCCACAGTCGTATGGAACACAGGAGGGATGAGTAGTTAAAAGCATTAGTGTTGTCCGTAGACACGGAAGCAGCTGAAGTCATCATTGTCATGCACCAACTTTCTCAGTCAGCAGTACTTGTCATTGTGTAGTCTGTGCCATAAGCGAGAGGAATGATGTGCTGGCGGTGATCGAGTGGCTTTAATGTATTTATGAAATAGAGACAAAAGGGCGTTGGATGTATCTTCCCTCTGCCTTAGAAGAGGAAATGCTTCTTTTAAAGATGTGTCTGGCTATGTCAACAAAGCTCGTTAATGGTTTGCCCTTGGCATCTTTGATCTTTTCTCAGTGGTCCACAGTGATTGACGTCCTGAAGAAAGCATTGGAAGCAAATCAAGTGCCCCACATCACTCTTAAGCCAGGACCAAATTTCAAGGTTTGTAATTCTAGCATTACCGCTTTGATATTCTAGACGACCGCATAGTGTTTAGCAACTGCACAATTTCTGAGATCTGCACCTTCCTGTGAATAAAAAGTAGTTAGCTGTGGCATTTTTATCTACTTTAGGTCCCTAAAGCACACAGACCACGAGAAGCTTTAAACTGCTTACTACCACAGGACACAGTGGTCCAAGACCAAGCCTGTGTACAGCTCGATTACACAGCCCACGCCAATATGACTTCTGTGCCCCCTCGTCATCCACGTGCCGTCGTAAATGACGTCAATGTTGCCTGGCACTCCTCCTAGGTCCTTGTAAATGTCATGCACCTTCTGTGCACTTTCTGCTTCAATGCGGGTGGCAGCTGATGTGGTGGCAGGGTGGCTGTACTTCCTTTGCAGTCTCTGGTAGGACTTGTGGTGCAGTGCTCGATGCGAAATGTCCATCGCAGAAAATATGTCATTTATGGCAGATTGTTTTCTGCCAACTGACTGCACAGCCCTCAAAGCACGCACGTTTACCTCAAAGGGGTTCGTTTTTTGTTGCCCGGAGCACCTCGGGGACGACCACGCACTGTTCACTATGCCACAATTGTCACAAAAAAGTTCCATCCTCGCCGCGAGTCCAAGGCAGTGCGTAGTCTCGAGGCGTATCGACCCTTCGTCGCACTTGTTGCACTTTACTGACGAAAGCAGACCGTTCAGCATCTTCTTATTTACAATGAAGAATGTGGAGTCCTTACCGCCGTCATTTTCGTCGCAGCCTTCGTTCAGAAGCTCGAGCTTCCGCTTTGAAGCGGACTTCGATGCTACGGCATCCAAAACATCCCGCCTTGTCTGCGCCCGCTGCGCGATTTCTTCACTGCTCGGAATCTGGGCCGAAACTCGCGATAGAATGTTCGACGCGCGCACGCCCGGAGTTGCAACGGCTGCCGACGCGGTGCCACCGCAATCGGGTTCGCGAGAGCGTCCATCACGGTCGACGGCATCCGGCGGTCTGACATACGACGATGTGGCACCTTCCACACTCTCGGCCTCACAACAATCAGCGAAGGGTCTGAGTAGAGGCTCCGTGACGCTTGAAGAGCATGCTCCGTCCGGAACTGCGACTGGGACGGCAGCCGCAGTCGTCTGCCCTTTGTTCCAAGCTTTCCGACGCTTGCCGTACTTGTGGACGCTCCGGAACTTTTTTTGCAACATAGCACCGCAGTATGAGCAAGCACTCAGAAGAGACCACCGATGTAAACAAAGCTTGGTAAAAAAAGCACGCGAACTATCACAAAAACAGCAAACTGGCAAAAAACGAAGCGCACGCCGGATGATTCTCGACACGGCGGCCGCAGATGCGCTCGCGCTTCCAAGGTTGCCAAGGTGCGCGGCGCAGCTTTGACCAGTAAGAGGTCGCGCCTGCTACCACGTGACCCGCGCAGCCAATTGCCCAAAAAAAGAAGTTAACTTCTTTTTTTGTGCTATGTACCAACTAGACCCAACGCAAGTTTTACTGAAGCCAATTGCCGTTCTTCGTTTTCGTTTTTTTACTTGCTCCTCGCGCTTTTATTTTCACTCGGCGAAATACGAGACCGCGACCATCGGGAAGCCGGCTTTCTCCTCTTTCCAAAGCTACCAAAATGGCGGCCCACGGTCAACAACTTGGCGCGTTTGTGCGGCGTGAACAACACCGTTTCAGGGGCTTTTTTTTCGCACTTTTCGGCGACTAGCCTCGGCAAAAACACTATTTGCGGGATTTGTAGCGCACGTTTCGCTGTAATATTTTAGAACAAGGAAGTTGAAGGTCTGAAGATTACGAAAAAAAATAAATCAGAAAATCGCATATTTTGACCAAAATCGGCACTTTACTTGCCGCGCCCCCCCTAAGCATCAAGTGCAATATAATAAAATTTTTTCTGTACCTTCAAGAATAAGTTGTATCTGCTTTCATTGCTGCATCATTGATGTCCTAAGAAATATTTATTTATTTAAAACCGTTGTCACTTGGAACAAACTTAACTGGAAAATATATGGAATGCTACATCTGTCTTTTTTTTTTTTAAAGAACACTTGCAATAGCTGTCTATGTATGCTCTGTACTCTTAGGAAATCAAACTTTTTGATAATGAAAAATAAGTTACGTGCATGTCACAGTTTTGCTGTTATTAACCACCATGCAATAGCCTGAAAGGGGACTGTCCTATGAAGAGATGAGTAAGACAGAAATGGTCTTTGTTACTTATTACTTCACACAAGCAAAATTTATTGAAAGAAATTGTTGATTTCATGCTGCCCATCAATTCGAGAACTCTAGCCAGCGAGCTGCACGACACACCAAAGTTCTCTGCAATACTCACCCCTTTTTTGCCTTTCACAGCTTCAGCAACTTGTGCTTTTTAATAAAAGGCAGCATCTTTAAAAAAAGTCCAATACAGTGCGTCAGCAATACACGAAAAATCTCGGCATGTTCATAGCGAGAGGTGCGGTAGCAAACAGTTAGGCAATCTAGAGAATGTTCGCTGGCATGTCATCGCAAGTGTCATCATTTGAAACCTTATACACTAGAGGGAACTTTGATGCTAGTGTCTATGGGAGCTGCAATGCACGGCGCTTCAGTGAGCATGGGCTGAATCTGCTTAACCACCTTGACCTTTTGAGCCTCACTAATTCAAACCAGCACGCAAAGTTTGCAATGGCTTGCTCTTTTATTTGAAACAAAACTATAACACAGCAAAGCCACAAATGCGTTTGAAGCCCGTGAGCACAGAGACTAGGCAAATTTTATGTACTACTCATAATTTCTATGGTGGCTGAACAATGGCAGCACCAGAGTTCCCTCCAGCTAATTTCAGGAAACAATGTTTGAAACATCATGTGCCAAGTAGTTGCCAACAGAAGCATCAGCAGAAAACTGTTCTCAGTAGGAAAAAAAAATAATAAGATTCGGCAAATCCCACGTACATGGGAATCAATGTTATACGAAACATGCGTAGAGAAGGTGACTGTGTTTCAATTTTTTTATTGAGCAACACATCATGAAATGACGCTCAATATATGTACAAATGCTGCACGCACAGGCATATCATGAAGAGTTGCAGGTTTTTATATAACCAGTTGTTTGCACTTGTGCAACGATGCCAACTAGAACATGCGTATTAGCAATACCAGAAGCTGATATGAAGCGCTGATGCTCGCGCGAACGCTGGCCCTGGACACTGCTACATAAATCAACTTCAGAGTATGACAACTAACCACAATTGACGTTAACCCGACGTGACGACTGTATCAAAGGAGTACATATGTAATGCTTATAAAATTGGGTAGGCAGCACTGCAACCACTACTGACGTTTCGCAAAGATCAGCGCCTATTTGAAAAGGTAGTTCCGAGACCTGGCGTAGCTCTGTGGTAAAATGCTTCTTTGCTACGCAGAATGCTCGTGTTCGATTCCAGCTGGGACCCTGACATTTATTCTTTGCAATAATCGGGTCGACGCTACCGATGTTGAGTATTTCTTAACACTCGCACGTTAAAATAGCCCATGTTTTCTGATTGTTCCTGGGTAGATACTAAGTGTCAATCACCTGTGGCACTGTGATGCAGGGTTCTTGTTGCTGATTTGTTTTTCTCCCGGGCTGAGCCTCAGAGAGTTTTGTTAATAAGGACAAAGCCGTTCGGTTTCCAAGAAACACACAAAAAAGTTTAATTGAAAAGTAAAAAGGCAAAGATTCCTCACAAAACAAAACACTTAATAAACAGTTGACTGGACATGACGAAACACATCTGTAAACACCCAACAAGAACGTTCAAAGTCAGTAACTAAACCTAACGTTCGAAAGAGGCTGAGTGATGGGAGTAGCGCAAGAGTATCGGTGCAGTCTCACCCACAAGTTGGTTTTCGGCGGTGATGAGAAACCGGAACGCCGTGACTCCTGCGTCAGTGCGTGGGCTGGACGAGGACGAGGGAACGCTGGCTGCTGGCGACACGTCGAAAAGCCCTACCAAATCGTGATGGTTTCGGCTTGAGGAGCGTGGACACGTCGGAGACGGGAGAACGCAGGCTGGTGGCGACACGTCGAAAAGCCCTACCAAATCGTGATGGTTTCGGCTTGAGGAGCGTGGACACGTCGGAGACGGGAGAACGCAGGCTGGTGGCGACGCGTCCGGGAACTAGGGTCGACCTAGTCAAGCAGCTGGGCGCACAGCTCGGGCCCGGAGCCCGACGGCTGTAGCTCGCCTGCCGGAACCAAAGTCCGCAGGCCCTGGAAAGGAGTTCAGGACCGGATGGCCACGGTCCTTTGGAGCGGGAACCCGACAGCAGGAGGCCCCGGCCGGTGGAAGTCCTGTAGGCTCGGGTCCGGAACCCAACGGCCCATCTTCAGCGCCCGGTCCGGTGACGACCTTCCGCTTGCACTGCCTGCCTCGAATTCCCCTTGCTCTGGTCCCCCCAGGCTCCTGCTTCAGCTCTGGCCCACTTGTCTCGTTCTCATTGGAGATACTGCTGTTTCGTGGTGTCAAGCCATTGGGCCTTGAAATCTCCGTGTTCGCTGCCCATTGGATGTTTTACCTTTTGTTTACTTCACGTCCTGCCACGCATCCTCGTGCTTGACGCTCTTTAACGTCGTCATTCTTGTTTAAGCAGCACCGCACGTGCACTCTGGTATTTCTCCTTTTGTTTTTTTTTTTTTTTTCCGTGACGCGCACTTTTCGAAGGCGCGCACTTTGAACGCGCACCACACATCACATACGCCCCCCTTTTATTCAAGTTTTTTTTTTTTTTTTAGAAAAAAAAAAAAAAACTGCCGATGAGTGCGCGTTCTGCACTACGTCACAATTAAACCACATATTTGCACCACGCAGTTCAACACATCACCGGGCTACAGTTCGCTACATCGTCCAAATGTCCACACTTAAACTTTAGATTCACCCAATTGCATTTAAAAGTTCTGAAACCCGGAATAAACCTTTTTACTACAAAATCGACTATGGACAAAGCTACTTGTGTCCGCAT